AATAGAAGTTCCCCAAAATAAACAGAAACTTATGGCAACGGTGACCTTGGCAACCCACATAGCAGGGAGTCCACATACAAACACATATCAATGTCACGGTAGGCAAAGCGCGGTGACGCATCACGTACACTGGTACCAAATACATGTATATGTACAACAACACATATTCACATACATATGTGTATCGACTCGCACGTTCGAATCCTTCGCATTTGCTCGTGTCTTCAAATAATTTATTTGCTTTTTTTTAAAACACATGACATCAACTGCAACAACTGAAAACCATCGACATGTGAAATGCAGTCACTCGGTCAAGCACTTGTTTTCTGCGTCTGCGTGAACGAGGGGAAGTTTCAATCCGAAATGATGCTGCATTGCATCCATTTGTATCTTTGCATGTCATTGCATTTTCTGACATCTTGTATTGCATTTCAAAAAGATTGTGTCAACAGCTGCATAGCCGTTCTTCCCTAGGGTGGGACGAAGAATGAGTAAGGGCGGGCATTCAAACCATCACAACTCAGAGTGAACGGTTCCCTACCCTACCCACCACTTAAATTGAAAATGCCACACATCAAATAAACATGGATTGGTCTCAATGATCACAAGATGACATGTCCAGTCTGCATCACTGACATGTGCAAAACATACAACGCAAATTTATATCGGCTTGATATAACATATATAATGTGCATACACGCGTCAGATGTATCAGTGCATCTCATAATTTCAGATTCCATCATATAACCATTAAATACAGATAAGTCGCATGACAGATGTTTGTTGGGTTGGTTTGCACAACATACGCAGCACATACATTTCACAAAACAATAGGTACAACTATCGACTAGTTGACCCTATTCAATTGCACTGTTGTGTTCCAAAAAACAAGAAAATAAAACATGCATCCAAACAAGTTGACATGCAACCTCTACCAAAAAGTAAGAGGCTATCAACACGTTGACCGCAAACGCAAGGCATATTGCATGGGCCACGCATGTCAATACCTCCTCATCAAGGACTTCCGCTTTGGATGAGTTTGACCAAGGGAAACACATTGTTTCAATCACCTTTCCCATAAAGCGCTACTGGCAAGCCAGCTGCTACACATAGCGTCATGAAATAAATTAAATGAGTTCGATCTCCTTTCAGAAGGATTCTCACAGTGCAAAACCAAATGTCAAATCACCAAGAGGTATGCACAAAAAAAACACAGCAGAAAATAATACAGACGATAAGAATCTTATCGTCTGTATTTGTTTTTCATATCAAGGAAGGTTCAAAAATTAAAAACACGATTTCGCTGTGTTCACAGTTGGGTCACACAGTTACCATCTGGCATATCTTGCAGACAATTAAGTTGAGTGGACGCTTGCGCGTGGTCGCTCTTAAATAATCACGAGACGCAGCACGCGTGCGTTACGCAGGCTTCACCAGAGTCCTAAAAACAGCGGGATCTGCAAGCAGAACCCTTACGACAATGATATGACAGTGATGACAACGATGACAGTGATGACAACGATGACAGTGATGACAACGATGGCAATGATAACAGTGATGACAACGATGACAGTGATGACAACGGTGACAATGATAACAGTGATGACAGTGATGACAACGATGACAGTGATGACAACGATGACAGTGATGACAACGATGACAGTGATGACAACGATGGCAATGATAACAGTGATGACAACGATGACAGTGATGACAACGGTGACAATGATAACAGTGATGACAGTGATGACAACGATGACAGTGATACCAAGGATGACAACCATGACAATGATGTCAACGATGACAATGATGACACTGATGACAGTGATGCCAGTGATGGCAGTGATGACAACGATGACAATGATGTCAACGATGACAATGATGCCAGTGATGGCAGTGACGACAGTTATGTCAATGATGACAACGATGACAAGGATGACAACGATGACAATGATGGCAGTGATGACAGTGATGACAGTGATGACAATGATGACAGTGATGCCAGTGATGACAACAATGACAAGGTTGACAATGATGACAGCGATGACAATGATAAGAGTGATGCCAGTGATGGCAACAATGACAACGATGACAGTGATGACAGCGATGACAGGGATGACAATGCTAAAAGTGATGCCAGTAATGACAATGATGAGAGTGATGCCACTGATGACAGCAATGCCACTGATGACAGCGATGCCACTGATGACAGTGATGCCACTGATGACTGGGAAGTTGAAAATTTGATTTTTGGTTTGCATTTTCTCAGTTTTCAACAGTTTTTGATTTTTTTGGTTTGCATTTTCTCAGTTGACTGTTTTAACAACTATGTTTTTGACTTTTTGTTTGATTTTGTTTGACTTTGTTTTTGGATTTGTCTCTTTTAACAACTATGTTTTTGATTGTGTTTTGATTTTTTTTGACCTTTTCTTTTTTTTGCAATATCAACTCTGTGTGGAAGTGGCGGTGTCATAGTAGTAGTAATAATAGTAGTAGTAGTAGTTGTTGTTGTTCCTATTAATGACTTGTGTGTTTTTGTTGCTGTTGCTATTGTCATTGTCCTTGGCACTGTTGTGGTTGTTGTTGCTGCTATTGTTTATTATTATTATTATTATTCTTGTTGTTGTTGTTGTTGTTGTCGTCGTCGTCGTCGTCATCGTCGTTGTTGTTGTGTTCTTGTTGGTCTTGTTGATGATATTGTCCTGGCACCCAGGAAAGCTTGTTGTTGTTGTTGATGATGAGCATGATATTGTTGTTCATCCTAGCATCCAGGAAAGCTTGTTTTGATGTTGTTGTTGTTGATGATATTGTTGTTTATCCTGGCATCCAGGAAAGCTTGTTTTGTTGTTGTTGTTGTTGTTGTTGATGATGATATTGTTGTACATCCTGGCATCCAGGAAAGCTTGTTTTGTTGTTGTTGATGATGATATTGTTGTTCATCCTGGCTTCCAGGAAAGTGTGTTTTGTTCTTGTTGTTGTTGTTGTTGTTGATTATGCTATTGTTGTTCGTCCTGGCATCCAGGAAAGTTTGTTGTTGTTGTTGTTGTTGATTATGATATTGTTGTTCGTCCTGGCATCCAGGAAAGCTTGTTTTGTTGTTGTTGATGATGATATTGTTGTTCACCCTGGCATCCAGGAAAGCTTGTCTTGTTGTTGTTGATGATGATATTGTTGTTCATCCTGGCTTCCAGGAAAGTTTGTTTTGTTGTTGTTGATGATGATATTGTTGTTCATCCTGGCATCCAGGAAAGCTTGTTTGTTGTTGTCATTACTGTTGCTGTTGGCTGTTGGCTGTTGCTGTTGCTGCTGTTGTTGTTCTCCTTGTTGTCCTCTTGTTCTGCTCGGGGTTGTTGCTGCTGTCCTTGTTGTTGCTGTTGCTGTTGCTTTGGTAGGTGTGACCTCTCTGACTCTCCCAGGCTCAAAGCTCCTGATGCAGATGAAGTTGCAACAATGAGGTACGTTTCCCTGGGGGTCCATCAGAATTGTTCATTAGTCAGCACTGGATGTATTGTTCAATCAGCTTATCCTTTGCTGGTCAATGGGTAGCCAGTAGGACTGATTGGGGCTGTTGTGGCACCAACACGTCCAGCAGCAGGTTGCCAATCGCTCCTGGCAGCAGTGCGGGCCCGCAGCAGCTCTGACCCAGTGGACTTCCCCACTTACAATCCATCACCCCCCAATTTAACAATTCTCAAAGGTAGTGAGTTTGCCATCATGAAAACAGCTGCCCCATCAGTAATATATCACAGGGACGGTGACAAAAGTAATGCTCTGTGCGGAGCTCATCAGTACCACGACCACAATTGAGTATCTACTATCTCATCATCTCACCCAATTACTTGATATTAATACTGATCAAGCTAATAGGTAGTTTGTTTCAGGGCTATTTGAAAAAAGCAACATAGATATATTACGGTACTCTGATGAAAACTACTTTTCGATTCATCAGCTTCATATCTATGTTGCATACTGTTGGGCTTTGACTTTTACTTGGATGTATACTCATACCTGACCTCTACATACCAGCCACTGGAAAGGTATGCAACAAGTGGGTTTGCAAGGCAACACACATAGGCATGTGAATCAGAACAAAGCTTGTGCCCACTGACACTTCACTTGGCTTCGGATCTGGTGCTCTGACCAAGGACAAGCAGAAGTAACAAGGTGTGGGCCTTAACTTTTCAAACTTGCACAACTATTTAAAACTCTGTATCAAGTAGAAAAATCCAAGTGGATACATGTAATATCATTAAGTCAGTCACACACTAGCAAAGTCAAGAGTGAAGAAAACAGTGGCAGGAGAAGACATGCAAAATGTGAAACAACACGTTGCAGGCAGTGCCTGAAGAGCTGCAGGTGCCAAGAAATCTGGGAAGGGCCTAATGACAACATGGTAGTGAATACAAGAGGCTGAAATCAACCTTGTCACCTCCTTGCCAAAAAAGATCTCACTTAGAATCATGATGACGATGACATTGCAACAGAAACAAAGCTCAGATCAGGCTTTTTGGGTGAACAAGACTGATGCAAACAACAAAAACTCCTGACAAAAAAACAAAAGACAAAACAAGAGCTATGAACAAATGACGTTCATGGCAAGAACAACAGCTACAAACAACTACAAGTACAATGAACCACAAGAAACACTGATATTTATTATTGCTACTTTTTGAAGCCAAGTCGTCATTCATTGAGCTGAGTTCTGTACGTAATTCATCTTGGTGTCTCCTCTGGCTTGTGGAAACAAAATGATTCTGTCACAATAAATGCAGCTTAGACAATTATGCATTATGTTTGCAAACATGTATGCCATCATCACTGTTGGTCAACTGTGCACATTCAGCTTGGATTGAAGTCTTTCAAGCTTCCATGCTTCAGCATTTTCCCCATTTGCAGCAAAGCCATCAGCGTTTGCATTTCTTCAATGCATTCTCAGCAGGCTCAGATGACTCAGCGTTCCTGAGATACTGGAGGCACAGCAGGGCTGTATGAACTTGCTTTCAAGTGATTATGGCAACCTTGCATTTAGCAAAGGCTTCAGAGACTGATATGTCCAAACCTGGCATGGCTTTAGGAAAGTTAAATGGAACATGAAACACAGCATTGTTTCCTAGCATGGTTTGCAGAATCAAGGAACATAGGAGCACTAGAAATCGCAGAGGAACTGGATGATGATGCTGAAGCCGCCCCTGGATGGTCATGAAGAGAAATCCTGAGTACAAAACGAAGTAGTTGCATACATGCAGTGTATTTAAAGAGCTGCGGTCGATCAAAAGCAACCATCCTTCTTTGAATTTCCAAAAAATGCCAGGGTTGACATGTTTCCCACATTCAAGATCACACAAAGTGCAACTGTGGTGCTTCTTCTGCAAGCACTTGATCTCCTCTTTGAGGTCATCACAAACTTGCTGCTGGTACTTGAACTTGTCCCTTCCTGCTTTCTGCCATGCTGCAAACAGATTTTGTAGCCCGGACATCCTGAGATGTTTGTGTGCAGTTGCCAGTTGCCAGTATCACAAATGGTCCATGTGCATGAAAGACCTTTCACCTTTCACTGGCCTTTGGCATTGATGTATGAACAAAGCCCAGATTCTGCTTTGCCAGCTTCTCATTCTCTTCCTTGAGCTTCTCATTCCTTAGGTTCCATTCTCTGCACATCTCTTTATGATTTTGTTTGGCACACTGTTTCTCCTGGTTTATTTTCTTTGAGGGTCTAATTTCGATTCTGCATGCTTCAAGCAGGGCAGCAATGGACTGAAGTTCACATGTCCGTACTCATAGTTCAAAGATACGTCAGAGTTGTACGATGAGCTAGGATGTGGGATCTTCAAATGTTGCTATTCTTGTTTATCAAGCAGCCTGTGTTAGGCCAAGCATCTTTTCTCCTGCTTGGTCGAGTTCAAAGGCATTGCGGTTGTTCCTGGGCACACATACACATAAGTCAATGTTAGGGCACACAACCTTGACAAGCATCACCAAGGTCCAGTTTGCACATGCTGAAGGGTACAAAGATGCACAACTGTAAACATACACACTGCTGTATTTTTTCTGGAGCTGGGATGTGGGAATTTCGCATGTTTGTTTTGTCTTGTTTTTCACGCGTAGCAGTTTGCTAGACTCCTGACTTAGGATTGTGATTCCAAGCATCGATCTTGAAAGTTCAGTGAGCCTCAGTACACACACACATGCAAACATCAGTCTTAGCATTTACAACATCAACAGTCAGAAAACTAAACATAAGTGATCACCATCTGGGGTTGAAGCTGTGCTTTGAGAATGTCATGCATCAATGTTATTGTTTCTAGCAGTGGACAACCAAATATGTCAAGCAGCAGCTTCAGCGCATTTTGAAGTTCAGCCTCCTTGGATGCCAACCTGCAGGTGCACATATGCACACAAGCCCACATGAGTGTGTGCTATCTATTACGGCAAAAAAAACTTAGTCAGCCAAAATACAGTCCCTGGAGCTCGAGCTTGTCAACTAGCTGTTGGCCCATTTGAAGCCTCGTGCAGCAATGGCAACAATAACAGCAAGTGCCACTATTAGTACTTCAACAACCAACAACCAACAATCAACAACCACAACAACAACAGCAGCAACAACAACAACACCAACACCAACAACACCAACAACACCAACAACCAACAACCAACAAACAGCAACAATACCTACTAGTAGCAGTAGTAGTAGTGTTAGTAGTAGTAGTAGTAGTAGTAGTAGTAGTAGTAGTAGTAGTAGCAGTAGCAGTAGCAGTAGCAGCAGCAGCATTTGCAGTAGTAGTAGTACTACTACTGCTACAATAGCAGCAACAACAATGCCAGCAAAAGCACATCCCATGGACTAAGTACTGGCCAAGAAACAATGCTACTTCACTGGCATTTTTTTCCTTCCTCGGATCTTCAGTCAGCAAGGCCTTTCAAGCTTCATGGGGCATATGGATGTAAACAAACATGTAAGTGGTCAAGGTGCCAGGTCTCAGCCAACTTCTCCTGGTCCCTCAACCGAGATTCTTCCCTGGGCCAGGGCAAGTAATCAAAGTCAGTGTGGCCAAATGTTTACAAAAGATTAGTGTGTAAAGAACAAATTGTGTATTGACATGTCATGTTGTCAAGAGGTTCCCAGAAACAAACATAAATGCATACCAATGCAACCAAAAGTCTCTTTTTTCAGCCTTCTGCGTATCTTTGAGGGATTGTGAGCTTTCGCATGAGGCATTTTGTGGGGAAAAATGTTTGTTATTTCACCTGTGATGTTTCTGTTTCATGTTGTCCTGAAGACCAAGTTTTCGAAAAGAACTCATTACTGTGATGTTCTTCCTGTTGCTACTGCTCCTTGCCAGCTGTCTTGAGCAATGTTGCATCAGCAAGGTCTCAAACACAAATGAGAGATATTGATCTGAATCCAAGGATGTCTAAATGCATGTACATAGGCTTCGGGAAATAATATTGCATTGACAACTGTTTTTTGTGTAACCTTAGATTTGCTGTCACGTCTGTTGAAATCATTCTGCTGCAGGGTCCTGATCAGAAGATAGCTCATGAAGAACTCAAGGCCTGGGCCAATGGGGGATTCGGCTAGTGTTTCAATGCTCTCAAGCAATGTTTTGATTTCATGCATGTTGTCAAGCAACTTCATGTGCTGTATGATGTGACAACATGGTTATTCTGTGCATTTCATTTGAACTCTAAGTGCTGCCATTGGCCCATGAATGATCGACAAATACATGTTGTCACAAGAATCATTTCTGTGTCACAAAGGGAAGCTAAGCAGTCCTGGATTCCAGGAGGGATAACTAGACAAAATCAAACATCTATTATTTCAGCATTTGTTCTTGGTAATACTGAATCAAAAAAGAGCAGGAAAGAATCTAATTACACTGTATGGTATAGACATGTATCTAAACATGTGAAGAAACTCACATTGTATCAACAAAATGTTCAGCCTGGAGCCATGCCCCAAAGCAAGACAGATAGTGATCTTCAACGGGACAGAGAGCCTTGGATTGATTAGTTCTGCCCTGTTGATATGGAGAAGATAATTTCCTGAAAAGTGGTCTTTCCAGCTTAGGATCGTGCTCGGGAACGTGCCTTGAGACAAGGGCCTCAGGTTCACCAGGCCGGAGCAATGCAAAACTGTGCTCACCATCAGCTACTACCAGTTACCAGTTGCAGTAAGTGACTCAACAATCATTTTGACTTTGAGTTTCATTTATTGGGTTGGACAACATTACATGTTCGTGAGATATCCTTGGAGGCAAAGCAGCCTCATGTAGTTCTACCTCCCAGAAGACCTGTGCCTTGGCATTGAACCCTTCTTACGTGTCTCTTCAACTTGTGTTTCTGACTGTTACTGTTTCAATTGGTTTGACATCCTGGATGCAAAGTGTTTGTTTAGTGGCTGTTGTACAAGCTTTCCTTTTTGATACACAACCAGCCGCCTTGTTCCTATGTCATGAGGCTGATGTGGCAGCCCCTTGGCAACCTTGTAAGGTAACATCACTAGAGAAAAAAAACAATCTTATTACATATCCTCAAAGTCATTTTTCCCGGAGTTGCTGAAAACCAATTTAGCTCATAGGAGCAAAAATGACATTCATCCTAGGTTGACACGGTTCCACATAATTCAATTAAAGGTTCCTGGGTAAGGTTGTAGTTTTCAAGATACCCATTTGGCTTTTTTTGCCATTCAAGTTAACATACGTTGCTGCAGCAGTGCTTTGAAACATATTGTTTGCTGTTCATCTAGCACATATTATCCTTGAGGATCATGGTGAACCAGCAAAGGCATTCCATGTGTCATGTGCCAGCATCCGTCAGTGATTTGTAAGGACAGTGAAATCTTTATCTTGTAGTGTAGATTACATAGATATATATTTGTTTGAACCATGTTCAAACATATTTACACATGTAGATATCTCTGTGTCCACATGGCCACCATTGAATCACCAGAGCTGTTCACATGAAGTGCTTATAGATCCAAGAGTCTATCTGAGCAATCTAAACCATTGTGGTATACATATGGACATTCATTGGTTTCAACACCAGTTACATACAGTATGTGTCAGTATGCAATGAGCTGAAATTTCCTGAAATTAAGCCAAGGATTTCAAACAATGTAGATATGTTTGTGTGTGTGTCTGCATGACCACTGTTGATTTGCCAAAGCTTTTCACATGCAAACATTCAGACTAGTGGAAAACATGTTTTCTTTTTTTTAATCAAATGCTTGGGTAATGCGAAATCCTGGAATCCAGGAACATGCAGCTGCACCATTTTCAAAGGCTTCAGCAGCTCGCTTAGCTCCTGGGCTTGTAAGAATCCTGCAGCGTAGGATAAATACGTAGATAGATTCTTGTATCCATTATATATATATATATATTGCCAATGCAATGCATATTGAAACATATTGTATGTAACTTGCCAGAACCTGTTGTTGCTTTGTTGCCTTGGCTTCATTATTTCCTTTGCTGATAATTAGGTTTGGAACCCAATGAATGTCTTCCATATGTATAACTCAATAGTGTAGATTGCTTAGATAGACTCTTGGATCTATAAAAAAAATCATAGATTTCAAACAATGTAGATATGTTTGTGTGTGTGTCTGCATGACCACTGTTGATTTACCAAAGCTTTTCACATGCAAACATTCAGACTAGTGGAAAACATGTTTGTTTGTTTTTAATCAAATGCTTGGGTAATGCGAAATCCTGGAATCCAGGAACATGCAGCTGCACCATCTGCAGAAGCTTCAGCACCTTCAGCAGCTCCCTTAGCTCCTGGGCTTGTAAGAATCCTGCAGTGTAGGATAAATACGTAGATAGGTTCTTGTATCCATTATATACATATATACATATATATATATATTGCCAATACAATGCATATTGAAACATATTGTATGTAACTTGCCAGAACCTGTTGTTGCTTTGGTGCCTTGGTCTCATTATTTCCTTTGTTGATAATTAGGTTTTGAAACCAATCTAATTTTTCCATATGTATACCTCAATAGTGTAGATTGCTTAGATAGACTCTTGGATCTATTTTCAAAAAATCTATAGATTTCAAACAATGTAGATATGTTTTTGTGTGTGTGTGTCTGCATGACCACTGTTGATTTACCAAAGCTTTTCACATGCAAACATTCATTCATTCATGACTTGTGGAAAACATGAAACTGTTTTATCAAGTGCTTGATGCAAAATCCTGGAACCGAGGAAGAAGCAGCTGCACCATCTGCAGACGCTTCAGCAGCTCCCTTAGCTCCTGGGCTTGTAAGAATCCTGTAGTGTAGAATAAATACGTAGATAGATTCTTGTATCCATTATATACATATATTGCCAATACAATGGTTTCAACGGTTCTATGACATGTTGGGAAAAGAAGATGTCCAACAATAGCCAGGAATACACTTTTCATACATTTTATGAGTCATGACCAGGGCCTGAGTTCAGCTGACCATGCTCTTAATAATTTTGTTGAATAGCTTGAATATGAACTGCCCTCAGTACACATCTTGAGGCTTTGCCGAAAAGTCTGTCTTGGATTGTGAACTCAGACTATGCAGATGTGGTTCCAGATGTCTCTTGGCAGTTGCTTGTTGAGATTTCCAAATATGCCAGGACCGTTTTCTTTCCAG